AGCCTGCCGCCGCCTCTCCTCGACGGGGTGTCCGGGCGGGGAGGAGCGCAGGCCGGGGCACTGCTCCGAGTAAGCTCGCAGCCACCGGTGTAACGGTGTGAGAAAGGGCCGGCGGGAAGGGTTCCTTGCCGCTGGTTGGAAGCCCAGAGTTTAATACGAGCAGCCCCCGAGGAGGCCGGAGGGTGAGGAGGTGACCTGCCATCCTTACGTCCTGCCCAGCCGAGGCGGAGATGCTGGAGCAGGGGCCGTCCCGGCCCTTTCCGCGCCCCCCGGCGTGGGGACTCTTACTGCGGCGGGGAGCCCGGGAGTCGGGCCGCCCCGAAGAGCTCCCCTCCCCGCGGGAGAGGGTCCGGGCCGCTTTGCGAGCCAGCTCTGTGCCGGCTGCCTGTCTGCCCTGCTCCTTGCGCTCTTTCCTCCGCACCGTCCGCCCCGTCCCTCTGCCCCAGGATGCCTCCCAACCTCACCGGCTATTACCGCTTCGTCTCCCAGGAGAACATGGACAATTACCTGCGGGCTTTAGGTAATGCCACCCTCCCCACCACGCTCCCTCCTCCACGTCACTCTCCCCTCTGTCTCCAAAAAGTCAGGAGTTGGGAAGTGGAGGAAGGTATTTGGGAACCCTCTGGTCCTTCTGTCTGTGACCATCGCTTTTGAGCTGTGGTAGTAGGGGGAAGGAGGTACCATGGCTGGTGCTCCCTGGCTAAGAGTGGAGGAGCTCTGCTGGAGGAAGGGCCCGGGTCGTCCACAAATCTTCTCTCCCTCTCGTCCTTCAGATATCAACGTGGTCCTGCGAAAACTGGTTTGCCTACTGAAGCCTGACAAAGAAATCATTCACACGGGGGATCACATGGTTATCCGCACCATCACCTCCCTGAGGGATTATGTGATGGATTTTGACCTGGGAGTCCAGTTTGAGGAAGACTTGGGACCTGTGGATGGACGCAAGTGCCAGGTGAGAAATCCAAGAAGTGCAGTTTCACAGGGGACTGGCGTGTGCTAGGAAGTTCAGGGACTTGCTCAGCTTTTGATTCAAAAACCAGATGAGAGCCCAGCCCAGAGCTGGCATGCCCCTGCAGGTCCAGGAGTAAGTGATTCTATGAGTAAATTACTGACAGCAAAGGGGGATGATCACTACAGAGCCAGAAAGCCAGTACTGTGGGACCCAGAGGATATTATCCTTTGGAGCAAAGCCCTGAAAAGACAGAATGTCAGCCCACTTGGTGGAACTCTCTTGTTGCACTTGGAAGCCAGAGGGTCATTCACCTCCCACGGAGAGCATCAGTCCCAAGAAGCCACTAAAGAGACACCAGATCAGGGACTGCATTTGAAATTGTGTCTGAAAGGAACAGCCAGTGACATCTCTGAAAACCTGTATTGCCAAGATCCGCTTGTCTCTGGACTGTATCTTCTCCTTTCCTCCTTTTTTTCAGACAACTGTCTCCTGGGAGGGGGATCAGCTGGTGTGTGAGCAGCTAGGAGAGAAGAGGAACCGAGGCTGGAGGCACTGGCTGGAGGGGGACAAGCTGCATCTGGTGAGGAAGGGTCCAGCGCAACTTGATAAATCCTAATTGTGGCGGGTGGGGGGAACACAGTGCGGGTGCTGTGGGCTCTGAGCCAGCCCTGCAGCTTCCTTCCAGCTCCTCTCAGACTTCATCCACGGCTCCCCGGGAACAGCCACCACTTCACACAAACATCCGCCTCCAGGATTTAAAAATTAAACTCAAAAGTTAAACAGGTCAACAAAGGCAATGTCCCTTCCCTACCCTGGAGCTGGACCCACTGAGGTTTTGGGAGGGTCGGCTGTGCAGCGTGTGGCCTGCGAGGCTCCAGCCAGCAGCAGGAGGGCTGGCAGGACTGCAGTGGAGGCAGCTGGGGAGGGAGAGGAGAGAATCTAGGCTAAACTCCTCTTTTACCCCGCTTTCCCCAGCGCATGACTGCTGAAGATGAGATCTGCGTCCAGGTTTTCCAGAAGGTGAAGTGATCGCTCCCCGGAGGGATGCCCGGACGGGACCCTCGCTCCCCAGTATGAAAAAGAAAACGAAA